CAAAACCAGCCTGGCCAACATGGTGAAACCCCGTCTCTACTACAACATTAAAAAAAAAAAAAAAACCGCCGGGGCGCCGGGTGTTCACGCCTGTAATTCCCTGCCCACCTTTGGGATGGGCCGAGGCGGCGGCGGATCACGAGGTCAGGAGATCGAGACCATCGTCTCTTGGCTAGAGTGACGTGGAAACCCCGATCTCTACTAAAAAATTATCAAAAAAACTAGCCGGGCGGACGGCGGGGCCGCCTGCTAAGTCCCAGCCTACTTCGGGAGGCTGAGGCAGGAGAAATGGTCGTAAAACCCGGGGGACGGAGCTTGCAGTGAGCTGAGATCCGGCCACTGCACTCCAGCCGCGGGGCGACAGAGCCAGACTCCGCTCAAAAAAACAGAGAAAAAAAACCGGCCCGGCGGGCCGGGGGTGCTTCACGCTCGTAATCCGCCTGCACTTTGCCGAGGGCGAGCGGGCGGATCACAAAAAGAAAGGCCTGGAACAACTAAAAAATGAAAAATAAAGGCCTAGAACAACTAAAATCCTTCCTCTGCTAGCTCAAAATTGGCCGGCTTTCTGCTCAAGCAGCTCACAGGCTGGTGGAAGAAGCCAGTGATAAGAATCAAGATGAAGGCTTATGTCTGGCTGCTACAGATGTGTCCTGGGGGGAAAAAAGACAAAGGGTTATGGGAGGCTGGAGGAGAGGCCCCTCACTCAGGGTAGGGAGGTCAGTGAAGGCTTCCTGGAGGAGGTGACATTGGCCTGGGGCTCTGAAAGATGGGCAGGCATTCCTCAAGCAGACAGCCTGGAGCACGACAGTCCTAACAGAGGAACAGCAGGGACGAAGGCTTGGAGACAAAGAATGGGGCTAATGTCACCCTGTGTCTAAATCCTAGCTGTGCCATTCCAGAGCTGGGTGACCTTGATCCTCTGAGCCTGTTTCTTCTTAAGCAGATGGGATGACAATAGACCTCCTTCGGGAGACGCTCGTGCCATAGTAAGATGTCATCCCAGCTCCAGCCACATTGCATATGCTTGGCATCAGTTGCTTACTGGGCCACTGAGAGCCCTTAGTGGTCTCAGGGGATGTGGGCGGGCTGGGGTTGTTTGGGAGGTCTGGGGTGACCGTCGCCCTCCGCCTGCAGGCCGCTGGAGTAACATGTACAAGCTGCCCTACAACTGGATTGGCACGGGCCACGTGGTGTACCAGGGCGCCTTCTACTACAACCGCGCCTTCACCAAGAACATCATCAAGTATGACCTGCGTCAGCGCTTCGTGGCCTCCTGGGCGCTGCTGCCCGACGTGGTATACGAGGACACCACACCCTGGAAGTGGCGCGGCCACTCGGACATCGACTTTGCCGTGGATGAAAGTGGCCTGTGGGTCATCTACCCCGCCGTGGACGACCACGATGAGGCCCAGCCCGAGGTGATCGTCCTGAGCCGCTTGGACCCTGGCGATCTCTCGGTGCACCGGGAGACCACGTGGAAGACACGGCTGCGGCGGAACTCCTATGGGAACTGCTTCCTGGTGTGTGGCATCCTGTATGCCGTGGACACATACAACCAGCAGGAAGGCCAGGTCGCCTATGCTTTCGACACGCACACGGGCACCGACGCACACCCCCAGCTGCCCTTCCTCAACGAGCACTCCTACACCACCCAGATCGACTACAACCCCAAGGAACGGGTGCTGTATGCCTGGGACAATGGCCACCAGCTCACCTACACCCTCCACTTTGTGGTCTGAGTGGAGACCTGTGCTCCCAGGAGAGGCGCAGCAGTGCGGGAGGGGCTCTCCACAGCAGCTCCTGCAACTGACCCAGTCTGCAAATATTTATTGGGGGCCAGCCCAGGGCTGGGACTGGGCATGAGGTGGTCACCAGGATTGAGCTTCCTCAGCACCCAGTGGGTAATACTTGCTTCCACTTGCAGAGCCCCGTGCCAAGCACTTCCCACACACTTACCCATCTGATTCTCCCAGCACCTCCCTTGGAGGTAGAGATCATGAACCCATTTAACAGATGAGGAGACAGAGGCTCAGAGAGGCACCGTCCCTTGCCTCATGCCTCAGTTGTGATCAGGCAGGCTGTGCTCTCACGACAGCCCCATTTTACAGATGAGGACGCTTTACCACGCCCTCCCCTCCCTGCCCTCCCCCATCTCCCCTGGTCTCCCTTGTTCTCTCAACTCTCTCTTGCTTCCCAGGACCACTCAGCACCAGAGGCCTTTAGGGCCAGTGTGCTGGTGTCGGGTGGAGGCCCTGGCTCTGCCTGCCATCCCGGGGCTCTGTTCTGGCTGAGCTGTTGGTGGCCCTGGGCTTTGGGTCCCTTAGCCAATGTCCTTGCCTCTTGTCTTTGGCCAGCCCCCGAGCCCAGCCCACCCCACCCGCTGTCCGGCCACATTCCAAACCTCTACCGTCACCTAGCTGCTGAGCAGAAACCGCACCCCGAGAGAAAATCCCGTCCTTGTTCCAAGGCCCCTTTCTGCTCTGTGCTCATTTTTATTTTCTCTTATTCTTCATCAGTGCCGTCATTTGTTTCTGCAGCAGCAGCTGAGAAGGCAGCAGGCAGCTCTGCCAGGGTGGGGAGCTGAGCTGAGGCTCCCTCTCCACCCAGAAGCACTGGCGTTGCTCACATAGTCAGGCCTTGGGTCCCCTCCCTGGTTCATCCCAGAGCCTTTGGGTCTGGAGTCCGCCTTGTCCTTTTACTCTAGGCTTTCAAACCCATAACCTTTACACACTCAGGGATACCTCCGGGTCTGCCATGAATAAGACCCTAGGCCCAAGGCTGGTGTGGTGCCAGGATGACACAGTTTCCCTCTTCCTTGCCAGCCCTGACCTGGCCCAGCAGCCTGGGGGCTACAGAAGACACGGTGTGAGTAGTTGGTCCAGCGGAGGCCTCAGGCCTTCTTCTGTTTGCAGGAGAGAACCAGAGGGTGGGAACAGGGAGGGAAGAACTGAGGGTCTGCAGACTGGACTTTTCCTGGCTTCAGAGTCCAACCCCAGGACTTGGGTTGAGCATGCACGGCGGGGGGCCACCTTGCCCAGGGCCACTGATGGCTCCCCAGAGCCTCAGACCCACACAGCCCAAAGGACAAGGCCTTCAAGCCTGCCCCTCTTCCGCTTTGTTTAGACAGTATTTTTAGAGCTGGAGAGAAATTTTCTAGCCCAACTCCCTGTTTCATGAAAGAGAAAGAGGCTCAGAAAAGTTGAGAGAGCAGCTGAGTGTCACACTGGGAGCTGGGCACAGACCATCTTCCAGAGGGGTTCTGTCATGGAGGCTGCCCTCCCTGGGAAGGCACCCCAGCACCTGTGAAGGACATTACTACTCATCCCCACCCGCCCCCTAGCCCTTGCTGCCTTCATTCTGTCCCGATGCCAGCTCCCGGGATGTCTGTAAGTTTGAATACCAGTTGCCATGTTAGGAAAGTCAGCTGCACAGCCAAGAGTGTAAGAGTGTAAAGAAATGCTTTTTTTTTTGAGATGGAGTTTTGCTCTTGTCACCCAGGCTGGAGTGCAGTGGCGCAATCTTGGCTCACTGCAACCTCCGCCTCCTGGGTTCAAGTGATTCTCCTGTCTCAGCCCCCGTAGTAGCTGGGACTACGGGCGCCCACCACCACATCTAGCTAATTTTTGTATTTTTAGTAGAGATGGGGGTTTCACCATGTTAGCCAGGCTGGTCTCGAACTCCTGACCTTAGGTGATCCACCCGCCTTGGCCTCCCAAAGTGCTGGGATTACAGGTGTGAGCCACTGCGCCTGGCCAGGAAATGCTTTTTGTGCAGAATACACTTCTTTCAGGCATTGTCAGGTGATGTTTTGTTTAAGCTCTAACTCACCCCTGGAATACAGGGGGATGATGACACCCAGCCCAGCCAGGCCTGACTCATCGTGGTCATATCCAGCCCCCACCCCAGGCCAACCAACCACTGCAGGCTCCTCTTACAGACTCACCAGGGGGCTGCGAGGCCCCAGCATCTCCCTTGGCCCTGGGTGTGGGTTTTACAAGACTGTGTCTTTCGTGACATCATAGCCCAACGATGTGAGAAGAAGGAGAAGGCCCCCCTTTCTTCATTAATCTGAAAAAAAGGAAAGTAAGAATAGGCTAATTTTTTAAAAAGTTAAAGGGCAAGCAGCATTGCATTCTGGGGGAATGCTGGCCACAGCCTCCAAACATTCACTAGGCCTCTTCTGTTTTCAGACCCTTGTAAGTGGGTTATGTGGTGGGTATGGGCAGTTTTTTTTCTTTTCTTTTCTTTCTTTTTTCTCTTCTTTTTTTTTTTTTTTTTTTTTTTGAGACAGTTTCACTCTTGTTGCCCAGGCTGGAATGCAACAGCGTAATCTCAGCTCACTGCAATCTCCGCCTCCCAGGTTCAAGTGATTCTCCTGCCTCAGCCTCCCGAAAAGCTGGGATTACAGGGGCCTGCCACCACGCCCAGCTAATTGTTCGCATTTTTAGTAGAGACAGGGTTTCACCATGTTGGCCAGGATGGTCTCGAACTCCTGACCTCAGGTGATCCACCTGTCTCAGCCTCCCAAAGTGTTGGGATTACAGGCGTGAGCCACCACGCCCGGCCAGTTTCTTCATTTTACACATGGTCACGTTGGAGCCTAGAACAGTTAGGTCACTCGTCACATAGGCAGTTAAGTGGAGAACGAGGTTTCAAAATCAGATAAGGAAACCATCATCATTAACTGAGCACCAACTGTGCTAAGCTTGCCACGGGCATATGCTTGCAGTCTCACAACAGTGGGAGGTCTGTATCCTGAATGTGCCCATTTTATAGATGAGGACACTGAGGAGAAGAGACTTACCCAGGCTCACACAGCAGCTCAGCCTGTTCTAAGCGCTGGTCAGTGCATGTTCTTTGCCACCAGCCTGTCACTCCAGTGGCAGCTACAGAAAGGGAGGCTGTTGCTTTTATCCCCAAACTGCATCCACAGACAAGCCCCAAGGAGGAGGCTGGGGCCAGCTCATAAAAAGCCTGAATGCCAAGCCAAGGAGTAGATGCCTCCAGTCATTTTTAGAACAAAGTCAAGTATAAATTTACAGAGAAAAAATTCTAAGACAGTTGGATGTTGTCCTGTTGGTGAGGAGAGGAAAGGAAAGGTTTTTATTGTGGGGAACTGGAACCAGCTCATAACTGCATGCCTGTGAGCTGTCATGGAAACCTGGCCCCCAACAGCTTTTGAGGTTTTTTTTTGGTTTTGTTTTTGTTTCTTTTTACCTGTCTTGGGCTTTATTACTTTTGGCAAAAGGTACTTCAAACAAGGAAGGGCCTGGACTGAGGAGGACCACGTCTTCTTGCTGACCTTGTCTATAAAGGCAAAGGAAGCTGTCTCGGGTGTTTCTGAACAACATGATTCATGAGGGGCTTTGGCTACCCCTTGGGTTCCCCCTAGAGGTGTCCAGGCCTTACATTTAATCTGCTTTCTCTGCGGTGAGGTAGAGAATGGAGCTCCCACGTTGGGGGCAGTGCTAAAGGTGAAACTGGGGGATTTTCCTGGGAATGATTTGGGGGCTCTTGAAAGCCGGTGTGTTCCAAAGCATCTTTAACTCTGGGACAGCATTGGAAGCCGCTGTCATGACAGGACACGGCACTGGATGGCTGGCAGAGAGCCCTGGCTAGGAGTTAGGGAGCCCTGGGTTGGAATCCAGCCCCACCTCTTTCATGCCACAGGTTTGGTCAAGTTCTCTCCCGCTCAGGATAGGGCTGTGAACTCCCTCTTAGAGCTAAGAACATGCAGCTTAGTGAGGACAAGACCCTTCTAGAGCTTTACCACTAATCCCCACCCAGGAGCCCCAAGGCCAGCATTATTCCTCCCCATTACAGGTGATGAGCCTCAAATTCAGAGAGCTTAAACAACCTGCTCAGGGTCATGTCTCCAACAGGCAGTAGAGTCAAAGTATAAACCAGGTCTGTTTTTGTACCAAAGTCCCAGACTAACTGTTGGTAGGAATCTTGTAACCAGTCATGTTTTCTTCCTTGTTTTGGCTGCTGGGAAGCTCAAAGTCAAATTGGAGACCCTTTTGTTTCAATTGTGCTGAGTCTCCTACTAGACTCACTTCATTCTAGCTTTCTGCTTTTACCTTTACCCTAATCTTTTTATTTTTATTCTATTGTACTTTATCTATTTTTGTAAGTTGCTGAGATATCTGTTTTGCCACAAGATGGGATATATCTAAATAAAGACATGATCAAAGGTTTGATTTAAAAGTCTGGACTAAATGCTGTGGTCCATATCCTCATCAGAACACATACATTTAATAACTTTTAAAATAAATAATTTGTCGGCCGGGTGTGGTGGCTCGCACCTGTAATCCCAGCACTTTGGAGGACTCTGGACGGCAGGCAGATTTACTAGAAGTCAGGAGTTCGAGACCAGCGTTCCTGGCCAACACCAGTGAAACCCTGTCTACCAAAAAATACAAAAACTGCTGGGCGTGGTGGCACACGGCTGTTAGTCTCAGCTACATGGACGCTGAGGCGGAGGTAGATTGCTGAAACCTGGGATTTGTTGTGTCTATTGTTTTGAGCCAGGATGGCGCCACGCACCTCCCAAGGGTGGGCTTTTGCCTGTGGTTTGACAATTGCCTAATGACCCATCTCTTCCCCTTCTATATAAAAAAATATAAAAAAAAAAATAATTCTATGTCATGGCATTGTGGTGGAGATATCTGATGGTGTGGAATAAACGAAATGGGGTGTGGGGATGGAAGATAATACTATCGAGCTGAATGGTGAACTGGTAGTTCTTCGGGGTATGGTGGCGTCATGCCCATATATTCCACGCCACTTTGGGAGGCTTAGGTTAGGCTGAGGATCATTGAGACCTGGAGGTTCAAGACTTATAGCTCTTGTGGTCAATCATTTGATGTGTAGACCTGCCCTCTCTCAAAAAAATAAAAGTAGCTGGGCTTTTTTTTGGTTGCATGTAAAAAAAAAAATAATTTAAATATAAAGGTTTGTAGAGAACTGTGCTATGTTGTTCTAAATGTTTCTGATGGAACTAATTGGAATATGGTGGATAGCCTGTGCAGAACCATCTTCAGAGCTTGTTAAATGCCACAGACCCACGAATGGAGCAAGACTAAGCCAGACGTTACCAATGGTGTTTTCAGCACCACTGAGCCTCGGCCCCTTCCTGCCTTCCTGTGCCAGCTGTGTTTTGTGTGTGTGTGGGAACTCCTCTGGGTCAGGTATATTGTGGGGGTGTCCGAGGGAAAGGTACAGGAAAAATATAATTATAAAATAAAAGACAAGAAATGCTGGCGGGTTTTTGTCGTCGGTGGTCTCATCGCCTGTATCCCAGATTCTTTTGGGAGGCCAGGCAAGGCAGATCACGAGGTCAGGAGATGAGTTATCCTCTATCCTGGGCAATCAAAGTGAAACCAGACTTACTAAACAAAGGACTATAAATATATATTGCAGCGTCGGTGGCGGGCGCGTGATTAGTCCCAAGCTACTCAGGGAGGCTGAGCAGTTGAGCAGAATGGTGTGAACCCGGAGCGGAAACCTTTGCAGTGGAGCCTGAGATTAACCATCGCACCATGCCAGGCGACAGAGCTAATGATCTACTGTCTCATAAAAAAAAAAAAAAAAAAATAGAATATGCTTTTCCTGGGAAAAATGAGAGTTATCATGGAATATGGGGAGGGCCTCTCGGAGGTCGCGCAGTCCCATGTGATCCAAACTGTAGTCATGGCCACAGCCCCTCTCGGTTGATTTCCCCATTTCCCTTTTGCCACCTTGGCCATGACTTACATGTTTCTCTTTCAGATGATTCCCTTCTTTTCACTAAAATGATTTTAGTAAAATTAGAGGAAACTTTATTTAAAAAATGCTTTTAAACAAATGTTTAAGGAGGAAGCTGCATCGTACAATAGTGAAAAGAAAGCCAGTGGCAGTGACCACGAACTGGGATGCTACACTGACAACAAGCACCACAGGTGCCTTCCGATACTGTATCTGCTGGGCCTCAGGCCCCATTGCCCATGGTTAAAAAGGAAGATTAGAGGCCAGGCGTGATGGCTCACGCCTGTAATCCCAGTGCTTTAGGAGGCTGAGACAGGCGGATCACCTGAGGTCAGGAGTTTGAGACCAGCCTGGCAAACACGGCGAAACCCCGTATCTACTAAAAATACAAAAATTTAGCCAGGTGGTGGTGGGTGATTGCCTGTTGATTCCCCAGCTTACTTGGAGGCTGAGGCAAGGTGCGAGATGCCGCCTTGAACCCCAGCGGAAAGCGGCAGGCTCTTGCTGAGAAGACTCACCGCCACCGCTGGACGCACATCCAGCCTGGTATACAGAACCGAGCTGGTATGCGTCATCTCAAAAAGGAAAGACAAAAAAAAAAAAGCGAACATTTAGCAAGCTGTTTAGGGGTGTCCAAGGGTAAAGTGGACCAGCAGTGCGACCACTTCCCTTTAGATATACTGCAAGAGAAATGGCCTGATGGAAACGGGAACCCAGCTCTCTCAAGCCATGATTCCACGGCCCCTCACAACGGCAGTAGACGGAAGCTGTCCTCCCCAGCACTAGCTCGCGATCTGCAGCGCGCGCCTCGCAACTGCCCGCCGACATCACCCATCCCCCTCACCACATACCCCTAATGCCTCCAGAGTCCGGCTCCACAACCACACTTGCTCAGGCCTCCCTCCGCTCTGCATGCCTAACACTCAGCCTTTGAGGCTGTCTCGAGGCCGTACCACGGCGCGCGGCGCCATGCGGAGCAAGGGACAGCGGCACCTCGATTCGGACGTCAGGAGCCATCTTCTATGGACGCTCGACGGCAGAGCGCGGCGCTGCAACTGTGGTGGGGAGCCTCAGACAGTGGCCGAGGAAGGGCTGCAAGTCCATCAAGCGCCCGTGGCGCGCCCTATACACCTCCGAAACAATGGCGAAGAATGGCAAAGATGTCAGCCTAAACCCAACGCGAATGATAATTTGACGTGCAGCACCAACGGAGGTATGGCAGTGCGTGGGGCAACTGTCCCCTCTCTCAGCCAGCAACCTCCGCAGCTGCTGCGCCCAGGTGCTAAGCCCCTTCACTTTGACAATAATGCCTCGGGCTGTGGGTCACCTGGTCCAGCCAGCTCCAGATGCGGTGCGTGGCTCCTTCGAGCTCGCGCGGCATGCGGGGAATACTTGCAACTGGCCCCCGCGAGCCGAGCGCGCAGCTCCCGCTGTCAAACCCTGGCCTCCCTTTCCACAATCTCCACAAGCAGAGGGAGGTGTGCCCCCAGCCTCCTAGCCAGCCTCAAGAGACGGGGCTCCCACTCCTAGAT